TGGTATTTTAATTCCTGGGAAAAAAAGATAGTGATGAGTCAACATTACCCCTTCCTTTTTTAACTTAAAATTAATGTCTAACAACAATAATGGACATTTTTGACTTTATACTACTTATTCCCTTTCAATTCCCATGTATACCAAACATTGGAATTGAAATTCCCAGTAATTCTATTCCTGTCAACCAAACACTGGAATTTAAATTCCCACTTTATTCCCAGTAATTCAACTCCCATGGAATTACAATTCTTTTCCCACATAATTCCCCCCCCCCTCCAATCAAACGCCCTATTATATTATGTATTTGGGCTAACAAGCAATATAATTGTCCAAGGAACACACCCTACTAACTCATTTTACAAATGACCCACTAGCAAACTAGTTGAGGTTGCCCATTAACCCTAGGCAACAACCAATGGGCAACAACCAATTGATATTCTCTAGAAGTCAGGTGGAAATCTAGGTTACGGATGAGTGATGTCTAGAAGGGATAAGTTGAATTGTCCTCTTTTATACTATGTTTGGAGCAAGTTTGTGGGGGAAATGGTGGCTTGTAGGAGTACATGGGTAGTTGTGGACCAAAAAAACCCGATCCATGCGAGATGGATTCGGGTGGATATCCACAGGGCGGATTGAAATTACCATCACAACTTGTGGTTGGCTAGGCATCTTGGTTCATTGGTCATGCATTATAGGAACTCAAAAGACTTTAGATTAACTCCCCCTAGGTCAAAATGCCTACTGTCGACCAACTTGTAACTTTTGGGCAATCGGCCATGCCATCAATCGTTATGCTGTGCATCCGTATGCACCATGTATGGTGCATACGGATGCCAAAACGGCGTCGTTTTATTAAAAAACGCGCGTCTCCCCTTTAAAAAAAATTCAGGTTCGATTCCCAGCAACAACATTATATTGTTCATTCATTCTGAAATTTTAGTTCAAAGATTATGGAATTATAGTTCATTGATTATGGAATTATAGTTCATCGATTATGGAATTGTAGTTCATCGATTCTGAAATTTTAGTTTATAGGGGGATTATGGAATTTTAGTTCATTCATTCTGGAATTTTTAGTTCATAGATTAGATTATGGAATTATAGTTCATCGATTATGGAATTATAGTTCATTGATTATGGAATTGTAGTTCATAAGTTGTTGCTGGGAATCGAACCTGATTTTTTTTTTAAGGGGAGACACACGTTTTATTAAAACGACGTCGTTTTTGCATCCGCATGCACCATGATGCACAGCATAATTTGCCCCATGCCGTGGTCTAGGCGAGATCACACTGGCCTACGAACCAAAGCAGAAGACTAGTCGACTGACCAACAAGCATGGGCTAGATTGGCCACTCGCTCAAAAGTCAACAAAATGGCTTCCAACATTAATTTGTTGAGGCTGGCACTAGTTGCCCAACCGCAATTTCCCCCACTATCCTGATAACTAAGGTTTGACCGTTTTGGGAATCAGCCCACTTATCGTAATTTCGCTCACCAAACACGCCCTTAGTTCTTTCCCGGTTGGAAAAACAATAAATAATTCCCAACCTGTAATCCAATAGGGTAGCTCAAATGACAATAAGCTCTCTTTGTGGGGAATAATTTTGGGATAACCCGAGTTCAATTCCTTTTGGACCAGCTTCTGTGCCGACCTCTCGGAGAAAAAGACCCGGACCACATTGTGTGTTACATCAAAAAAAAAAAAAAAAAAAACCCCACCCAATTTCCCAACTCCATGAGCCACATCCATAACTAATATAAATTTTGATTTATAATTTTATTTTAATATAATTAATACTTATTATCATCATTAAAATAATTAATATTTTATAATAAATCTATATTTTCCTAAAATCCTGAACTTTAACTTCCCGCCCAATTCTTAAAAATTTTTTCTTTCTAATAAAAATATATTATTTTCTATATATTTTCCTATTCGTACTATAATTCTAGGTTAAAATTACTATTTTAATATTATAAAATAATGTAATATAATTCATATTCTAATCTATACTATATATAAAAACAAACTCCTGAACTTTAACTTCCCGCCCAATTCTTAAAAAATCTATCATTCTAATAAAAATATTTTTTTTTCTATTTTCCTATTTGTATTATAATTTTAGGTTAAAATTCCTATTCTAATCTATACTATAATTAAAAACAAAATCATATTTACTTGATTTACCGCCCAAACATTAGTAAATAGTAAATGTAAATAAAAAAGGAACATAAATATTTCACAATAATATTCTACATCATCAATTAAAAATGGTACCAAAATAAGGTAAATTAGAAAAGGAAATGAATATTAATAATTGATTGAAAATTAAAAATGGAAAAAGGAACGGAAATTAGTTTAATTAGATAAGGAAATGAATATTAATAATCTATACTATAATTAAAAACAAAATCATATTTACTTGATTTTCCGCCCAAACAATAGTAAATAGTAAAGCTAATTAAAAAAGGAATAAAAATAAAAAAAAGGAACATAAATATTTTACAATAATATTCTACATCATCAATATAATTTAAAATGGAACCAAAAATAGGTAAATTGAAAAAGGAAATGAATATTAATAATTGACTGAAAATTAAAAATGGAAAAAAGGAATAGAAATTAGGTTAATTGAAAAAAGAAATGAATATTAAGAATTGACTAAAAAAATATTCATAATTGACTAAAATGGAAAAGAAAATTGTCATATCATTGCATTTTAATTTTTCACAATAATATTACACATCATAATGAATCAAATCACAATTATATCATAAATCTTTCATAATTTTAAACAATGGAACGAAAATTAAAAATTGAACAAAAATATTTCAATAATAATATTCTACATCATCAAGTAACGATAAATTAAAAATGGAAAAGAAATATTTCAATAATAATATTCTACACCATCAATAATAAAGGTAAATTAAAAATGGAATGAAAATATTTGAATAATAATATTTTACATCATCAACTAAAAATGAAACGGAAATTAGGTAAAAATATCACTATATCTGATATTTTAATTGAATAATTGATTTTTTGACCAAAAATAAAATAGAATAATTGGTTGAAAATTAATATAATATTACTAATTGACTGAAAATATAAAAGGAAATGAATATTAATAGTTGACTGCAAATAAAAGTGATCCATAATTGACTAAAATGAAAATATAAATGGTCAGATCATTGCATTTTAATTAAAAATGGAATAAAAACTAAAAATTTGACGAAAATATTTTAATAATAATATTCTGTATTATGATCAATAGTAAATGCATATTTTAAACAATAGTAAAAGTAAATTAAAAATGTAACATAAATATTTCAATAATATTATTATACATCATCAATTAAAAATATAACATAAATTAGGAACAAATATGATTGCATCTGATATTCTAATTGACTAATTGACTGAAAATAAAAAAGAATAATTGGCTAAAAATGAATCTGATATTACTAATTGACTAAAAATATAAAAGGATCACTAATTGACTAATATTCGACCATTATATATTTTCACATGACTCAACCATCTTTGATGGACTGAAAGTGTTAGCTCTAGACGATGATGGACAAGATTGTGTTGCTACTACCAATGTCGTCTACAAAGAGGTTTCAATAATGTGTAAATACAATCGGTTATATTATGTCTTTTAAATGACAAAATTGCAATATAGCAGGACAAAAAATATTTCCATACAAATGAATTAGGATTGCAATTCATTTTTATAACTGAGTTGCTAGAAAACGAGCACATTTGCCTAATTTATAAAAATACTAAACAATGATAAATAAAACCTCCAAAGTTACAGTATCGCATGCGTACATCTACACATTAGTTATTAATTTGAGTAATTATTTGCTCAAATTTAGGCAACGATAACATCAAAACACATAAACCATCCAAATCATATCTTCAAGTGCACTATATAATATTTGATGTTCTAATTTAAATAATTATAATATATTACAACAAATTCATTCCGTGCATCGCGCGGGTGAAAATACTAGTAACTTTGTAATAGATTTATGTTAATGTTTTAAAAAACGAACCAACCTAAAAAAAAAAAAAAAAAAAAAGATGAAAGAAATACACATTTTTTACTTTTAGCAAAATAGAAAAAGACTATTTTTGACATTCAAACTTAACACTAGAAAATAAAAATATTTTTGTTGTTTCCAAACTAACTCTTAAAATTAAAATAAAAATACAAGTGGAACAAGCTGTTGCATAAAAGCCGGATTGTTATGCCATGGACCCGGGTCCACTTACAATGTCAATCATGGTTCAAAACAGTGTCGTTTTACTTCAAAACGATGCCGTCTGAGTTTATTATTATTATTATTATTATTATTATTATTATTATTATTATTATTATTATTATTATTTTTAAATTGCTTACTTCCTTGCCGTTTGTCTCAGAATTCGTTCCTTTATATTCACAAATTTTGAACTCTATAGACTATATTCACAATTTTAGAACTCTATATTTACAATTTTAGAATTGAATATTCATAATTTTAGATCTCAATATAAAAAATTACAAAATTACAAAACTTAATATTCACAATTTTTGAACTCTATATTTACAATTTTTTATTATATTCACAATTACAGAACTCAATATTCACAATTTTTGAACTCTGTATTCACAATTTTTGAACTCTATATTCATAATTTTTTAACTCTATTCATAATTTTTGAACTCTATATTAAAAAAAAAAAAGAAAAAAAAATTATAGGCGGAAGAAACGATGCCATTAACAACACCGTTATTCCAGACGCATGTTTTGGACCTAGGCCCACCTTGCCATAAAAGCCCATCGGGAAAGGCTTCCTGGTGTGGCCCATTTTGCAATGCAAAACCCAAAGTAATAGTGGATGGGTTTCGCGTCAGCCCGGATGGCCTATTTTCAAATGTAAAATGCCCTAAAGCCCAATGGCGTAGCCAGGCGGACTTAGGGTTAGCAGACATAAAACCTTGGTAGTTCCCCTTCTTCTACTCTCTGTTGCATCGCTCTGGGTTTTAGTTGCCGGCTATCCTTCTCCTTTCACCCTCGAAATCTTTACTGGACTCGGTAGCTTCAGAATGGCAGAACAGGTATCTTCACATTCCTCGTTTTATGTGTTTATGTTTGTGTACATATTTAAGCCCTTTAGAATGTATATCCGCATTCATATATGTCGTTACGAGTTTATGGTGGAATCTAACGGAAGTACTATGTGTTGCAGACCGAGAAGGCTTTCTTGAAACAGCCTGGAGTGTTTCTCAGGTATAATTTATTTAAACTTACATTTATGCAATTATGCTGCATATAATGCATATGATAGTGATAATGCTTCTGATGTAGATGATTTTATATATGTGTTGTGAGTTGGAAACAACGTCGTTTAAGATTTGCATTTGGATCTTAATCTGCAGCTCGAAGAAGACTGGAAAAGGAAAACGGCCCGGGAAGGGAGGAAATCGCTTCTGGAAGAGTGTAGGGCTAGGGTTCAAGACTCCACGCGAGGCTATTGAAGGTTAGTTTCAGTTGACATTGAAGTTAGGTTGAGAAGTTGTGATACTTTTCATTTCTGGTTTGTAATATTTTCTGAAATTCTGACTCTGATCCAAAAATATACATAATATTATTTTTCTCTATGGTGTCTTGTGTTCATGTTTTATGCTCCATGTACTTAGTCAACAATATATATTTTTTCAGAATTGTGAAATTACAATGGTAACTTGTGCTAAACCAATGTAGTTTCAAGAATATTTGTTAAATTTAGCTTGTAATTAAAGTGGCAATCATTTGTTTAGTATCTGGGATAGTAAATATGTAATTGCAATTATTTGATTATCTCTGGCATAAAATTTATAGTTTTAGTAATGGTTTGTCATTGTGGTGCATCTAAAATATAGAAGTCTATCGTTTGCTTAACTTTTGGATTTAAATTACTTTCTGCTCATTAGAAATAATACTTTCTGCCCAGCAGATCGTCTATATAATTCATTGAAATTGCATATTTTGCCCCTTGTTCTTTTTCAAGCATGTAATGTGAATTTTTACTCAATTCTATGGTCCAAACTTTTTACTAGTCATATGCTTTTAGTTCTATTCTTTAAGAGCTTTTGTCTATCTGGTTATAGGGGCCTATATTGATAAGAAGTGTCCATTCACCGGCACTGTTTCTATTAGAGGTAGAATCCTTGCTGGGACATGCCACAGTGCAAAGATGACAAGAACTATCATTGTTCGCCGCAACTACCTGCATTTTGTCAAGAAGTATCAGAGGTACAAGGCTTGTCACTTTCTGTTGTTTAAATAGTTGCACTCTCTTTATTTAGAAAAAGAGTTCGATAATGTGTTATTTTCAGATATGAGAAGCGACACTCAAACATTGCCGCTCACATTTCTCCATGCTTCCGAGTGAAAGAGGGAGATTATGTTATCATTGGCCAGTGCAGGTGAAGATCAGAGCTTATTAATTCCCAATACCATTGTCTTCTGCATTAGTATATAAATTTGATATATTTATTTTTGTGTTTTAACAGGCCGCTGTCCAAAACAGTGAGGTTCAACGTGTTGAAGGTTATTCCTGCAGGGTCAGGTGGAGGGAAAAAGGCTTTCACTGGGATGTAAACTTGTTTCTTTTTGTAGTATTGTTAAAGTATTAGAAGAATGCTTGGTATTTAGACTATGCAAAACTCAGTCAAAGTTTCTCTCTATGTACTTGCCATGGAAGGCTTAAATTTTTGTGCTACTTTTTTTTTTTTTTTTGGTTTTATATACTCAAGTGTTTTCAGATTACTCAGCTTTGGTAAACAGTGGTTGAAATCCTTCAAATTGAACTGGTAATGTGATCTATTATGGGATTGTTGTTTCTCCAGTGTGATGGCAAGAGAATTTTAAAACATCTACTAATTTTGACTTGTTCCTTTAAAATATCTGTGAGGTACATTGAGCTGAATAATCTGGGGAGAGAATGGTTTACTAACTGCACTTCTTATTGATTGGGTTTTGTACTTATCTCATATCTTGTAGAAGTTGTAAATTGGACCAAGTTTGGTATTAAGTGACATGAAAGTTAAAATAATCTTTTTTTTTTTTTTTTTTTTTGTTTTTTGTTTTAATGCACGTGGAAATTTGTTTTCTTAGGAGTTTCTGCATTAGTTGGTTTTTTGCACAATCCCCTGCGAAACGCATGTAATTTGCAATTGTTTCTCTCTCTTGGTGAGTCCACTAACAACTTCAGCATATCTAAATTTCTCTCTTAACTTCTCTTTTCTGCACATAAAAGGACCCATAAAAAATCAAGTAAAAATTATAAATGGGGATGACCTTAGAAAAAAAAAAATCAAGTCAAAGAGGTTTGCAGGGATGTAAAACAAACCGTGAAAGAAATTACAAATTTGATGATGTGGAAGTGTGACCCATTTTTAAAAGTGAGAGATTTGCAGGGATAAAGATAGCCTTATAATTATGTGATCTTTCTTCCTATTTTGATGTTAGGAATATTTATAATTTAGATTTAGATTTTGATAATACCAATCGTTATGCTGTGCATCCGTGTGCACCTTGAATGGTGCACACCGATGCAAAAACGACGTCGTTTTGACTAAAAACGCGCGTCCACTTAAAAAAAAAAAATCAGTTTCGATTCCCCTCAACAGCATTATGTTGTTCATTGATTCTGGATTTTTAGTTCATTGATTATGGATTTTTAGTTCATTGATTCTGGATATTTAGACGGAAATAGAAACTGATTTTTTTTCATTCACGCTGGATATTTAGTTCATTCATTATGGATATTTAGTTCATTCATTATGGATTTTAGTTCATTGATTCTGGATATATAGTTCAAATTATGCACAACATAATGTTGTTGCCGAGAATCAAAACTGATTTTTTTTTTTTAAGTGGACGCGCGTTTTTAGTCAAAACGACGTCGTTTTTGCATCCGTGTGCACCATGCATGGTGCACACGGATGCACAACATAATTTGCTGAATATATGTGGGTTATATATAATTTTAAAGGAATTTGGATAAACGAATAGTATTTAAAGTTGGATGAGATCACGAACCTGGACGTAATGCTGTCCCGATACATTCCTTAATTTAATTCAAATAATTAAATTAAATCTAGGAATTAACCAAAGAGCTAGATAGAGTTCGTTAGAGATTTTCCCTACACTCACCACTATAAATAGTGGTTTCATTTTTAAGGGAAAGGAGCTCTAAAGCATACTAAAGCTCTGTCGAAATCTCGCCAGGATATCGTCTAGAACACGCCCGCAGTTATACTATACTGCGTTGAGGAACACGCCATTTGAACACCGAGAGCCCTTCTTTGAAGATCAAGCTGCATATTAGCCCTTCATTGAAGAACAAGCTACTTAATTCCAGATGCCCTTCAGCAAGGAACTACTTTCAATTCGGCATACTTCCAGTTCGACACTACTTCCAATTCTGAATACTTCTAGTTCGGCACTACTTCCAATTCGGCATACTTCCAGTTTGGCATACTCCGAACTCGGCATACTTACAGTTCGGCATACTCCGAACTCGGCATACTTACAATTCAGCATACTCTGAACTCGGCATACTTACAGTTCAGCATACTCTGAACTCGACATACTTCCAGTTCAGCATACTCTGAACTCGGCACACCTCCCATTCGGCACACTTCTAATATGCATACTTCTAGCAGAAAATCAGAGGATCTCTCCTATACAGAGATTGTACCCCTCCTCATTTGATACATACTATTTGTAACCGACACTTTGAATATTGAATATATACCATTCAAGTTTTTCGCGTTTACACCGGGACGATATTAGAGTAATCGCAGTGCAAAGAACAATATTGAGAACCGAGAGAAAAATAGAGAAAAAGGAAAATTGAAATGAAGGAACTTATCAACCACCATATTCCATTGATCATTTACTTTATATATATACATACATCATAATAATCACTTCAAGTTTAAGGGATAGAAGAGATAGTGGAGATAATGACCATAAAATATATATTTATAATACTATCCTTTGACAATTATCTTATTATTAAAAATCTTGCTAGAAAAATTGTATGAAAAAATTTAGCTAATTGAGGGAAAAAGAGTACACGATATATTTCAAAACATGTGTTACACAGAATTGTATCATTAAAAATCTTAGGCTAAGAAAAATCAGTGAGAAAAAAAACTTATGTAAGGGAAAAAGAGTATAATCATAAACCAACATAAACTTTCAATGCATAATAAAGTAGTGTTCCAACGACAATGAAGCATGGTTGCAGTAGGTGCTAGGTGCTAGTCGGGCGGTCGGGCAGCACCTAGTGCCTAGGCGGAATCTAGGTGGGGCACCAAAAAAATTAAAAAAAATAGTGAAACTTGTAGTTTGACAATTTTAATGAGGTTGTTTTCAACATTCAATCAAATAACATATCTAAATAAATGAAATAATGATAATTTATAAGTCATAACGTCATAATAATATTAAAATCAATAATTAATGAAAGACGACATCGGTCAAAATCGAACAAAATCGGTCAAAATCAGACAAAATTGGTCCAAAATGGTCAAAACCGGACGAAATCCGAGTTGACCGACTCGGCCGAATTTGGCCGCCCAGGCGGCCGGCCGAGTTTTGACCGCCTTTAGGCCAAAACGGCAAGGCTCGGTGCCGCCTAGCGCCTAGGCGGCCGAGTTTTGCAACCCTGCAATGAAGTAATGTACTTTTGGTCTTAAGGTATCCTCTTCGAGTCTAAACAGTTCCTTGTCTACTTTAAGATATTGGAAACCATTAGTCTGATAAATAAATGATGCTTATCAGTTCCTTGTCTACTTCAAGATATTGGAAACCATTAGTATGATAAGTAAATGATGCTTATCCATATAAAACACGTCAAATGAATTCTTCAAGATAAGCTAATTGGTGTATAAAATTCCTTCAAGGGAATACTCGATCTGCAGGTCGAGACAATACTTGATTTCCCAAGTCTTTCATTTTAAACTCCGTCTTTAAGGCATGAGTTAATATCATCAAGATCTTTATACATTTCAATCATATTTATATAATTGACGTAAACTGAGATAATAAATAAATAACTCCATTTGCAACTCCTTAATAAGCACAAAATGACGCATATTATTTACAAAATGTGACATATATTGCCCCTCCCTAATAGGAAGAATGAAAAACATTGTTGTCAACGGGAGGAGAACAAACGAAGAAAGAAAAATGGAGGAAAAAAAGTGGTCTTCGAATAGAGAAAACGACGGGTAATCATATTTACACCACTAATAATTCAGAGGAGGGACAATAATATATGTCACATTTTGAAAATTAAAAAGTAATATTTACATCACTAATAATCTATGAATGACATTGATAATAGACATATTTATGAGGGACATAAATTACAATTTTCCATCCTAAATTATCTTGTTCTTGTGTAGTGCATTCTTATGCTCTCCCCACACCTGTTTATATCATCTTTCTTGTGAAGCAATACACCTAATTCTTCAAAATCTGAACTTCTATGTGCTGGTTTATTTTTGGGTATTTCTAACTCCTCACTCTCTCAAATGCAAAAACAAATAAAAAATATTTATTTAATTATAATATATTATTCATAATAAATTTATTTAATCATAATAAACTATTTATACATGTATTCGAGTATTGCTCAGAGATCACACTAATTAAATAAATAAATAAAAATTAATTTTCTAAAGACAAATGAAGTTAATTCTTTCTTCTATTATTTTATATATTTTCATGATTCCATCTCCACTTGAATTTTATTCATAAATCTTTTAAGGTAAATTTGTAACAAAGATATGACAAAGCTATTTATACTTGCACTTATAATGTTGCTATTTATACTTGCACTTATAATGTTCCTCCTTCAAATTAAAATCATTGTCTACATACATCCTTCAATTCCAACATCTCTCTTATCCAACTAACATCCAAAATCATCCACAAAGGGCTCAGTCAAATCAAATGCTGCAAAGTGAGTCTCAGTGATTCTGCAAAGCACAAGAAATATTAGTAATATGAGCAGGAACTAACAGGACTATGAACACTAGACCATAAATTCATCTATAAACCGAATTAATACAATTTGCTCGAAACTCGGGTTTTCTAACTGGGTTCGTGTGGAGGCTGTGGGTTTCAGTGGAGGTATCTGCGTCTTCTGGAAGGACCCGGTGCATATCTCAATTCTGTACACTCACCCACAGTTCATGTTGATGCAGGTTACTCAATTTGGCCACCCTCCTTGGGTGTTTGCGCCAGTCTATGAAAGTCCGACCCACCACCTCAGACGCCGGCTTTGGAGAGAACTTTCCCAGTCAAAGCGGGGGCAAAATTGCCCGTGGCTTGTGGCTGGTGATTTCAACTCCGTCATCTCGAAGGCGGAAACAAGTAACTATAGCTCGTATTCTGCCCAACGAAGTTCGGACTTCGTCACATGGATTCAAGATGAAGGTCTAATTGACCTTGGTTTCTCGGGGCCTAAGCTTACGTGGGTGACTGATGGGTCAACTGATGCTATTAAAGGGGCTCGCCTCGATAGGGCACTCTGTAACTTGGAATAGCGTATCCGGTTCCCGGAAGCGAATGTCGAGCATTTACCTCGAACTGCCTCTGATCATGCACCACTCCTGTTACGAATACTCGGGGGCAGAAAACATACTCATAGTAACCATTTTATGTTTCAGGCTGCTTGGCTCGCCCATGACGATTTATCAAAGACGGTCTAGGGCCTATGGTGTGCGGACCAAGACATTTTGGCAAATGTGCAGCAGGTAACAGCAGGTTTATCCACCTGGAACAGAGAGGTGTTCGGGAACATATACAAACGAAAGAGGGTCATCATGTCACGCCTAAGCGGCATCCAAAAAATCCTGGCCGAGAACATGCATAAAGGCCTTCTTAAATTGGATCAGAAGCTGCGTCTTGAGCTGGAAGAGATCCTGTATCAGGAGGAACTGCTGTGGTTCCAACGGTCCAGAGAGGATTGGATCACGTCGGGGGACAGAAACACGGCATACTATCATGCTGCTGCTACTGTTCGAAGAAGCCGTAACAGGTTAGGCAGGCTTCTGGATAGTGATGGCGCTTGGATCACATATGACGCAAAACTCAGGGACCACATTCAAAATTTTTATATTAACTTGTTTACTGAATGCAGGGAGGTGACCGAAGCCCAGCATTTTCCACGGCTTAGACGTATCGACTGGACTCTCTTCAACCGGCAAGTGACTAAAGATGAAGTCTACGAGGTTGTTTGTGACATGAAGCCTTTCAAAGCCCCAGGCCCTGATGGTCTTCCCGCAGGGTTCTTCCAGCACATGTGGGAAGTGACTGGGGACAGCATTTTTAAGATGGTTAATGAGGCTTTCAGGACAGGGCGGATACCAGAAGGCAATAACGATACTCTCGTTGCTCTCATTCCTAAAGTGCAGATCCCGGATACCATCAAGCAGTTCCGACCTATCAGTCTTTGTAACGTGAGCTATAAGATCCTTACCAAAACCATCACCAATAGGTTAAAAAGTATCCTTCCTCGAATGGTAGGGTCGTTTCAAAGCTCTTTCGTTCCCGGGAGACAGATATCTGATAATGTGACCATCTATCAAGAAGTCCTCCATACAATGCGGGAATCGAGGGGAAGTAAGAAGTATATGGCCATCAAGTTAGACCTTGAAAAGGCATATGACAGGCTATCGTGGGATTTCATCCAGGACACCCTCGAGCGGGCCGGTTTCAACAATAGTTGGAGAGACCTTATCATGACCTGCATCACAACCCCCAGGCTTGCCATCATTTGGAATGGGGACAGGCTCGAGCCTTTTAAGCCAGAGAGAGGCATCCGCCAAGGGGACGCTATGTCTCCCGCCATTTTCGTGCTTTGTATGGAACGGTCAAGTCACCTGATTGTTACTAAGGTAGAGAACCATAGATGGAAAGGAATTAAGCTAGATTCACAAGGCCCAACGTTGTCACACCTCTGTTTCGCGGACGACATGGTGCTGTTTACGGAGGCCTCGTTAGACCAAGTGGAAATAGTTCAGAATTGTTTACATAAGTTCTGTAGGGCTTCCGGACAGAAGGTCAGTCTCGAGAAATCCCAGATTCACTTCTCCAAGAATACGACACCCGGCCTGGCCAACGAGATCACAGGTAAGTTTGGCATTGCTGAGACCAAGGACCTGGGGCGGTATCTTGGTGTGTCGTCCATCCATGGGCGGGTAACCTGCAACACTTATGCAGGTCTCCTTGAGCGCATTGCGGGCCGTCTCGAGGGGTGGAAATCCAAAACCGTGTCTTTAGCGGGGAGAGTTACTCTGGCGAAGTCCGTTTTAAATGCTATCCCTGTCTATACAATGCAAACTGCAACCCTACCAAAAGGTATTTGCACAGAGATTGAGAAGAGAACAAGACGCTTCATTTAGGGCAAGAACGACCTGGAGGCGATAAGATGAGTCTTGCTAGTTGGGAAATGGTGACCAAGGCAAAAGAGACGGTCGGGCTAGGGCTTAGAAGGCTGCACGACATGAATACCGCTTGCATGGATAAACTGGGGTGGAGGATCCACACGGAGCCACATGCTCTTTGGGCGCAAGTTCTGACCTCCAAGTATGGCCGTATGGCAAATGTAATAGGCAGAAGGAAAACGTCTAACGTTTGGAAGGGCATCAATGAGGCGAAGGCTTTCTTGGAGGAGGGTCTCACGCACATAGTTCGCGACGGAAGTGCAACTCAATTTTGGATGGACAAATGGCTTACACCTAGGCCGCTTTACGATCAGCTCAAATCCCCTCTGAGCCTTCCCGAGCTGTACGCAACGGTAGACTCATATTGGGATCATGACCGAGGCTGGAAGTGGGAAAAGCTAATGCATGTTCTGCCCCAGGAGGCTATAGAGCGTCTAGCAGGTTTCAGGTTGACGGAGGCTGGCATTCAGGATGAATGGGGCTGGGGTCCGGACAGCAGGGGGAAATTCTCGGTTCAGTCTGCATATGCCCTCATCACTAATGCGACGGAAGACCACGCTGACAAGGATTGGAAGAGAGTTTGGGCTCTTTGGGTGCCGGCAAGAGTTTCGATGTTTCTGTGGCTCGTAAAACTTGAGAAAATCCTTACGAATGTGGAACGAGCCAGGCGCCACCTCACCACTAATGTTTTTTGTTTTATTTGTGCAGGCCAGCGTGAGGATCTTAATCACCTCTTCAGAGATTGCAGAGCTGCGCGAAAAATTTGGAATGAATCCCTCTATTGGCGTACCATGGAAAAGCTGCGATGTCTAAACTGGCAGGAATTGTTTGCGGCAAACATACAGGGCGACGCGAGACAAGGTTTTGAAGAAGGTTGGCCTGAACGGTTCGCCGCTAGGATGTGGTGGATTTGGCGATGGCAGAATGACGAGGTGTTCAACCATCAAAAAATCCCAAACGCCAAGAAATTGGATTGGTTACGTAAATATGATGCTGAGGTGGCCGGAGTTTTCGTTTGGAACCGAAGACCGCTAAGCAGGAAAACCCCGGTTGTAGAAGCTAAGCTGGCTTAGGGGAAATCGACAAGAGGTTGGGTGAAACTTAACGTGGATGGGAGCTGTAGAACCAATCGTGTGGCAGGCTGCGGCGGTGTCCTTCGGGATGAATTTGGAGACTGGTTATGTGGAATAGGGAGATGTTCAATAGAGGCTGCGGAAACATGGGGTGTCCTACATGGTTTATGCATGGCAAAGAACTACGGGGCTACCAAGATCATCATCGAGAGTGATTCAAGGGCCACAATCGAGAAGTTGCGTCAGGGAAGAAACCGACAGGGACAAAACCATAACATTGGCAGACTGTGTTTGGCAGAAGCGGCGACTTTTTCTGAGGTCAGATTTGAGCATGTTTTCAGAGAGCAGAATAAGCTGGCGGACAGACTGGCGTCCATAGCAACTTTGGAACAACAGGGGTTCCACATCCTTAAGGAACCACCACCGACGCTTCATTGTATGATTGCACTCGATAAGATTGGAGCATCCTCAACGCGGCGCATCTTCCAAGCCCCCCCCCCCCCCCTCCGGGAGCGTGAGACCTTTTTCTTGCTTTCTTGGGTGTCCCCCTCAACTCTGATATAAAAAAAATCTTTTAACAATTATCTTATTATTAAAAATATTGCTAGGAAAACCATATGGAAAAACCTAGCTAATTGAGGAAAAAAGAATACACGATATATTTCAAAACATGTGTTACACAGAATTGTCTCATTAAAAATCTTAGGCTAAGAAAACCTAGTGAGAAAAAAACTTATCTAAGGGAAAAGAGTATAATCATAAACCAACATAAACTTTCAATGTATAATAAAGTAGTGTTCCAACGATAATGAAGTAATGTACTTTTGGTCTTAAGGTATCCTCATTATCCTCTTCGAGTCTAATTGGAAACCATTAGTATGTTAAGTAAATGATGCTTGTACATATAAAAAAGTCAAATGAATTTTTCAAGATAGGCTAATTGGTGTATAAAATTCCTTCAAGGGAATACTCGATCTGTAGGTCGAGACAATACTTGATTTCCCAAGTCTTTCATTTTAAACTCCGTCTTTAAGGCATGAGTTAATATCATCAAGATCTTTATACATTTCAATCATATTTATATAATTGACGTAAACTGAGATAATAAATAAATAACTCCATTTGCAACTCCTTAATAAGCACAAAATGACGTATATTATTTACAAAACGTAACATATATTGCCCCTCCCTAATAGGAAGAATGAGAAACATTGTTGTCCACAGGAGGAGAACAAACGAAGAAAGAAAAATGGAGGAAAAAAACGTGGTCTTCGAATAGAGAAAACGACGGGTAATCATATTTACACCACTAATAATTCAAAGGAGGGACAATAATATGTCACATTTTGAAAATTAAAAAGTAACATTTACATCACTAATAATCTATCAATGACATTGATAATAGACATATTTATGAGGGACATAAATTACAATTTTCCCTCCTGAATTATCTTGTTCTTGTCTAGTGCATTCTTATGCTCTTCCCACAACTGTTGAATATCAACTTTCTTGTGAAGCAATACACCTAATTCTTCAAAATCTGAACTTCTATTGTGCTGGTTTATTTTTGGGTATTTCTAACTCCTCACTCTCTCAAATGCAAAAAATAAAAATAAAAAATATTTATTTAATTATAATATATTATTCATAATAAATTCATTTAATCATAATAAACTATTTATACATGTATTCGAGTATTGCTCGGAGATCACACTAATTAAATAAATAAATAAAAATTAATTTTCTAAAGACAAATGAAGTTAATTCTTCTCTTCTATTATTTTATATATTTTCATGATTCCATCTTCACTTGAATTTGATTCATAAATCTTTTAAGGTAAATTTGTAACAAAGATATGACAAAGCTATTTATACTTGCACTTATAATGTTTCTCCTTCAAATTAAAATCATTGTCTACATACATCCTTCAATTCCAACATCTCTCTTATCCATCCATCCCAAAAATCACAACAAACTATTATTCAACTAACATCCAAAATCATCCACAAAGGGCTCAGTCAAATCAAATGCTGCAAAGTGAGTCTCAGTGATTCTGCAAAGCACAAGAACTATTAGCAATATGAGCAGGAACTAACAGGACTATGAACACTAGACCATAAATTCATCTATAAACCGAATTAAACCTTTTGGCGTTTGGGGTTTGGCTGCTCTGGATGCTCTCGAACAGGACTAGCAATTGGGGTTTGGTCCTAGTCCGATAAGAATTAGACACGATCGATCCAGATCAGACGTGAGAAGAATACATTCACACAATTACATGACTTTATGGTAGGTTACCATATATATATATATATATACCTCTTCTGAAGAATCTTGAAGTGGTGGTATTGTAAATCGAGGACCTGCAGAAGAATTTATATATTAATTTGCGGGTTAAGGTGTTTCTTCAGTTTTGGCAAAAAAATAATAATACCTCCTCCACTGAGTCTAGCAGTATTTGGCACTGGCACATAATAACGAGGATCAAAATCATCCTCCTCATTTTCTCTTTGAAGAACTAGACCGCCTCGTCGAGATAAAGAACGCACAATCTGCATGCCATAACATTAATTGACCAGCTATCTAGCTAGTGTAGATAGAACGTACAAATATACTTACCGGTTCAGATATATAAGAACTTGATCCATCATCTAATCCTCATATATAGCACAAAACTTGGTTAATTAGAGCAGTAGTATATATTAATTAAAGCAGAGCAGATCGATCGAACAAACCTACCTAAATTAATCAGATGTAGAGTGTCACCATCTTCCACATCTATTAGTAGATTCATTAGGGAGCACAGAATGATATATAATATATATGAACAACTAACATAACTAACGAAAGGGGGCTGGGGATACTGTAATCTGAAAGACGTTTATAGTTTCTCAAATCTCTTCTCCGGAAGATAAGTTGTTGTCTATTTGAGGAAACGCCAGTAAACACAGCAATTTGTTGCTTCAAATAAAGAACTGGAGCCTGCATATATGTTCGTACCAAAATATATATGCATATGATCAGGAAATGCAGAAAGAAAGCATATCAAGACAAGAGAAAATGGAGAAGAGCAAAAGGCTTTTACGTACTCCTTTATATATTCGCATTGTGCGCTGGGAATCCCTTATCTTAATATTGATCTTTATGTCTTCACTGTCATTGGTAGCCATCTTCACCCCTTCTTACCAACACGTATAGTAAAACACTCAATAGATTGAAATAATGAATACTACCTAGCTAGCTAATTAAAGACAACAATCTTTTGAATTTGAAGTTGAAAACCATCTAAAAATTGCAAGAAACTGAATGAAGCCCATAATCGGAACGCTACAACTTGAATTGTTGCATTTTAATAATCAAGATTCCCAAACTAATTAATAGCTCCATTCAAGAATCTCTTCCACCAATAATTTTATCAGTAAATTATAAAGAAATCATGATTGCAGTATAGAGCTAGCAAGAAGCCATTTATGAGAAGGATGAAGGAACAGTGGGTAGAGCAAGAAAGATACAGAGGAAGAGACGAACCTGAATTGAAAGAGAGAAAGAAAGAAACCAACAGTGGGTAAGAATGCCTATCTTAGAGTTTGCGGTGAATTTTTATATCATTGTAAAATAAACTGAGTATGTAATATGTATCGCTTTATTACATGAGTTGAGGAAAATGTGTGTTTATTTGAAAAATAAATAAAAAATAATTTGTAAAATTCAAAAAATATATTTTTTGTTATGGATATATTTTGTTGATAATGTATAATCATTATTCCAATTATATTATCTCTTGGATGAAAAGGGGGCGTTTGGTTCAAGTCATCTCAAATTACCTAGGTAATTTGAGTATGATAATGTTATATTACTTTGTTTGGTTCAAGTTATGAGATTACCTGGTAATGTTATATTACCAGAAATTGATGTGGCGGTAATGTTTCAAGGTAATGTGATTACTCCATTTTCTTAGGTAATCTTAAATTACATTGAATTATTCCAACTTTGTGCTTATTGAGGACATTATAGTAAATTGATCCATATAACCTAAAATATAACGCTTTGTTGACTTCTTGATTTGTTGTTCCCCATGTACTTATGAGTATTTATTGATGTTTCGTAAGTCTAGAGCGGCGTATTATGAACCCAATGGTTAGGATTTAGAGTCTTGAATTGCGATTAATATCCAATATTGCTATTCGTTAGATTATTTGATGAAGTCTATGATGTTCGTATAAACCCTTGTGATTACTCTTTGACTTGTGTATTAGCATGTTGTTTCTTGATGCTAGTATGATTCCTTGTGATAGCCTATAGTTGATTCTTGATTGAATTGATAACTTGAGCTTATCTATTCGTTGTAACACTTTGTTGGAATCCGTTGTCGTTGAGTCTTTGTCTTAGAAATACCCTTCTTGTATTTCTCTCTTGATATCCGTTTGAACTATCATTGTGAGCTTGTACTCTTGTTGTATCTTATCTTTGAGAATTCTTTGAATTGAGCTATTGATTGAGCTAATTCGTTGTTGAATACACTTCTTGTGGAATCTATTCCTTTACTTTATCTCTTAAGATTCCTTGTGTATTGAACTCTTGTTGTGATGATTGAGCTGGTACGGTGGACAGTGTGGGGATTTCTTACAGATTCAGGATGTTGGTTTGACGGACAACCTGTTGAAACTTATCCGGGTTGTCGGACCTATTTCTACTTATTGGGCTTGGAGATCGCAATAGGGGTGTATACACTTAAGGACTTAGGCCGCCACGTTTATATCCTGTCGAGTCGTTGCAATGACTCCGCGGAATCTATGTTTTGAGATGGTGGTTTACCACAATCGGGTCGTTGCGATGGCCCCGCGTGCATCTCTTGTGTTACTTGCCGACTTTGAGCCTTCCACACTGATTCATCATTTGATTTAAGTCATTGAGATTGACTCCGCGCTGTATGCTTGTTGATTGTGTCCTTTGTGGACTTGGTATCTTGATATTGACGTTGATTGCATAACCTTGATGAGAATTGTCCTTGTTGCTTGTTATGATTGTCTTGCCATGATCTTTATCCTTTATTCACTACCGTTATCTCGTTGACTCAATCTATTCTATTGTTCTTGTGGTCTAATGCGTATGGTTGAGTATATCTCTTGAATGATTTGGTCGTGAGTCCATTCCTTGTGATTTACTGAAATAGAGTTGATTAGAGATATACTTATGTATTCCCAAGTCTCAAAACTATTTTAAGTATCAAATGTATATTTATGTATCTTTACACATTGGAGTGGAGTTACTTAGTATTATCGCTAACAGTTATTTAAAATGATTTCAGGTACAGATTAGTCAATACAAGAGCGCGCTAGTTGGAGCTTACAATCTAGACTTAGCAATCTTTCTTTTTAGTATTCAGTTGTTTGGCATGTGTGCCTTGTTGGATGTTTTTGACATTTGGATATTTAGATTTAGACTAGCCTGTGCATCTAGGTGTTGATGGCCTAGATGTGGCATAACATCCCCACGTTTTGATTATTAACTTCCGCAACGTTTTTACTTATAATGGTTAGACTCTTTTATCTAAATCTCTTAAGTTTTAAATGCTTAAACTATGCCTAGTTTTGGGAGTGTTATAGTGAAGGCTATAAATTAAAATTTCTATCATGGATTATTTCGTTCTTGTCTAGTGCTTTCTTATGTTCTTCCCAGTTCCCGTGAATATCATCTTTCTTGTGAAGCCATACACCTAAACTTCTGTTGTGTTGGTTTATTTTTGGGTTTTTTTAACTGCTCACTCTCTCAAATGCATATATATATATATATATATATATATATATATATATATATATATATATATATATATATATATATATATATATATATATATATATGATTATTTTCAAATAAAAAGCCCCCTTAAAACACAAACCCCCCTTAAAATACAAACTTAAAATACAAACTGTGTGCATGTAAGTATGTTAATGTGTGCATGAGTTAATCCCAGATATTGTTGGCAGTGTGGCAGCGTGCATGTAAGTATGTTAATGTTTGCACGAGCTTTGATTGATGGTTGTAATTTTTTCCTCCTACGCGCTGTGTGCATGGAAGTATATTAATGTGTGCACGAGCTTTGATGAATGGTTGTGATTTTTCCTCCTACTCGCGGTGTACATGTAAGTATGTTAATGTGTGCACGAGCTAATCCCAGAAATTGTTGACTGTGCGCCCAGTGTGCATGTAAGTATGTTAACGTGTGCACGAGCTCAAGTTTGTATGTTTACACTACAGCCTGTTGTGTTTTGGGCCTATTTCACTCCCAATGGTTGCTTTTGCTTATATTCTGTAATGCACTCTGCAGGGATTGTTTAACTCTATGGGTTTATTTCTGCAATATGTTCACAGAGAACTTCCCTAAAGAAATGGTATAAACCATAACTGCTACTAATTAGGGGAATAGGGAAAATTGATATAGAGTTAAACAAAATTAGGAAATTGAGGAACAAAACTTGGTAATGTGATAGCTGAGGTCGTAAAGGTACCGGCAGTTTGAATTTGATTGCAGAGCTTAGTATCAATTAGCATTGTATTTTCTTTAACTTGTATTGCATGCTGGGGGTATTAACTTGTATTTGTTTGAAATCTTTGTTGGGTGACAAGGGTATGCATATAGGATCAAATTATGTAAACATATGAGGTTCCAATCAACTCGTAGTAGAATGCAGCTTACTTGTATGCAACTTATTACATCTTATTCCAAATATGTTACTAGTGAAAATGTCAAAACCTTTCATACTCAATTCTGCAGAGATTTCATTGAGATTCTAAGCAAAACTAATGCTTCCTAACACCTGCTAATTGCCTAATTAGAAGATATGTAGAGATTGTAGTGATGCTTACTGATATGGACGAACACCTGCTAATTGCCTAATTAGAAGATATGTAGAGATTGTAGTGATGCTTACTGATATGGACGAGAAGTATGATTGCACTATAAGGAAGTTGAGGGGATTTTCTTAGCTAGGACTATATTCTTTGTCATATATTGAATTATAACCACAGAAGAAATAGTAAAGAAATGGAAAGGATGCAAGAACGAAGTATAAAATAGAAAATTTAAAAAATAATAATATAACCCGGCTTAAAAAAGATTGAAGTAATGGGGTCAAGTCCAATTTGATGACTACGGTAGCGAGGGGTGCACTACAAGTCACATCATTTTTATCTCTTTCTTGTGTTTTAGTTTTTTTTTTTTTTTTTTTTTTTGGCAAAAGTTTCCGAGTTTTGCTAGTTTGTCTTTTAGTTTATATGGTTTGCCTATATACTGGAATGCATTACATTGATTGGGGGGCTTAAATGCGTCATTCAATACTGATCACTAAGGGGGCAGAACTTAAGTTTGACAATGTTTAAAACAATCGTTCAACTTAATCCTCCAGCTGGTCATCCTCCTAGGTTTCTAACTTCCTATGTTTAGTAAATTGAGCTTGCACCACCGATTCAGTCAATTCTGAAAATTGAGGCAGAGCTCACAACAAATGCCTTGGTATACCCGCCCCCAATGGGAATACTTCTTTGTCATATATTGAATTATAACCACAGAAGAAATAGTACAAAAATGGGAAAGATGCAGGGACGAACTATAAAATAGAAAATTAAAAAAATAATAATATAACCCGCCTTAAAACAGATTGAAGTAATGGGGTCAAGTCCAATTTGATGACTACGGTAGCGAGGGGTGCACTACAATTCACATCATTTTTTTTTTTTTTTTTTTTTTTTTTTTGCTTATATTCTGTGACGCATTAGACTAATTGTGCACTATGGGGGGAGGTAAGGGGGGGGGGGGGGGGGGAATGGTGCATTATGGATTGTAAAGCATGGCTATTTTGTGGGAATAGTGCATTCAGTAGACTCGTTCACATGGTCCTGTTTGTTAGTATAAGGATAACATCTTAACCGGTTAGGTATGTTTTGTGGTGTTCCAGGTCGGGATGCTAACCATCCAGTGGATTGTAGTGACGACGAAAGTGATACGGAAGAGGGGTTTCAAACGCCACTTGAGGATTCTGAAGAACTCGAGGATGCAGAACCGGTGCATGGTGCAGCGGTCCGTGAAAGCCTATTGTTTCCCAAGATCAAGACACGGGGCAGCCCGAGGGAGCTTGTTCGCCTTGTTTCCTCGCTCACGGTACGACAACGACAAGATGTCAATGCGATAGGCATGGGCGGGTTGCTGGGGTTAAGGATTAAGGAACTACCTCTGCAACTCGGGCGTTGGTTGGTGTCTAATTTTTACCCGGTGGAAATGAAGTTGAACCTAAGCCACGGGAGGTCTATTAACGTTACAAAGGAGGATGTGGCGGCAATGTTGGGACTTCCGAATGGTTCGATCCCCATAACGGAGCGTGATAGCCAAGTGGAATGCCCCGACCTACTAGCATGGAGGAGTAAAGTTAAAAACCGGAGGGTAATATCACCACGAAGGCGCTTACAACGCTGTTGTTGGAACTGAAGGGGGGCGGCGTGTGGTTTAAAAGGCATTTCTCGGTGGTGGTGGTTAGCTCCCTGATCACAAGCACGCTCAATGGGTATGCAAACCAACGGACTTTGCACATGTTCCGGG